GTGTGTACAAATCTGTTGGATATAATTATTTTATCGTTAAACTCACCAAAAAGAATTTTTTTTTTTTTTTGCTTTTTTATAAATATTATTTGTTTATGGAAAAGTTGGCATTAAAAGCATTTTCGGTAAAAAAAAAAAATTTAATTCAATTTTTCTTTCTATTCGCTCTTTTTTCCCGTATTCTTATCTTCTTTTCCAATTCTTTTAATGGACTTACCAGTAGCTTAAAGAAAAAAATGGTAATAACCAAATGCAAAAAAATAAAAAAAATTCAAGAGACTTCTTAACAACAGACGAATCTTTGTAATTGTATCAATAAAGTTGTTCTGCTAATGCAGTAAATTGTGCTTTTTTACTTATAATTATTATAACTTTTTTCTCAACAACTTTCCTTCGAGCAGACAATTCGAAAAACATTTAAATAAATAAACCCTTATATATATATATATATATATATATATATATATATATTGTTTTTATTTACCGCTTATTTTCTTACAGATTTGCGTTTTCAAAAGTGAAGTTATATTTCAAAGAAAAAATACTTGTTAAATGTGATCAAATTATCAATGTTTAATCAATTTTGATAAAAATTTTGAAAAGTAATATTGAAGCAAAATGGTTGAAATTATTAATTGCAAACCCAATTTTGCAGTGTTTGGAGTGGTGGAACGTTGACTGGCGATAGGTTGATAGAACTATGATAAAAGTAAAATTAATTTCTCTAAAAATCGTATAGATGCTCTTCTTAGATAGTTAAACTAAAATTGTAAAAAGAAGAAGAAGAAGAAGAAGAAGAAAAGGTAAGAGGGCTTCAAAATTCAGAGTAACAAATTTGCACAAAAAAAAAAAAAACAAATTTTTATCTTTCTTTGAAAGTTCCCATCGCTAACGCAAATGACACTCTATGTAATTTGTAAAATTGAAAACATGCGATGTAAAGCATTAAGAGATATCCTAGTTTATAGACAAATTAACAACGAAGTATTGAAAGCTGAATTTGGTTTTTTCTTCTAGAACATAAAAAAGTATCAAACAGAAAAAATGAGTATATTTTCCTTTGTTTTTGAGGAACTGATCAACTAGATAAGTGGTAATGCCATTAGAAAGCTTGAAATTTACATGCGGTTACTCTCGGCATCAAATGACCACTTTATTTGCTTCAAACTCCGTCTTTTTACATTTCTTTCTCATCCTACTCTTCTTCACTTTATTTTTTTTCTCCCAGTTTTACTACCACTTTGATACAGTGCCATAAATTTCCCACAATTTACTATGGTCTGTCCATTCCTGCAATAAGCGATAACAAAATTTTGCATTACCAGAGGTAGACACATGAATCTCACTTTCTTCCTATAACCAACAGATGTTTCTCAGATTGTCAGCATAAAATTGTTAGGTCTAGACAAAAAAAAAAAACAGTTATCCAAAATTTTTAAACTACTTATTGCCTCTCAAATAAGTTGTTTCCTTTTTAGATAATAAAAATGATTGAAGCAAAAAGTGGAAGTATGCAGTACTTTTAAAAGAATTTTAAACCCTAACCGTGGTGGAATAAACTAAGTTTTCCTAACACACTTCTTCAATTTTCAGAAAAACTTTAATAAGCTTATGTTTTCCTTTTCTTCAGCTCCTCTCTAAACCACAAATACTGGTAGTTTTTTTTATAGATTTTTACTGCTGATTTACTATTAACGTTTTCTATTTTTAAATTCTTACAGATTGGTTTTTTTTGGAAACTTTAGTCATCTTCTCTTCTTCTTATACTAGTTGAAAATGTGACAACCGAAGTATCGATTTTTTTTGTTTCTTTGAACGTTACTTTTAACTAATCCATTATTTTACTACAATAGATGATTATCATGTTGTCCATTGTTCTAATTATCACCCGAACAACTGATACTTAATTTCCAGCTGCTTTTCTGATACTTACATCTCATCTACTGAATTGCTTCAAATCAGATCTTTTTTACAAACACAAATTTTTTTAAATTTTAATAGTCCTCTTCAATAAACGTCAGTCAAGTAATATCGAAAAAAAAATAATTATTTAACGAAGAAATTTAAAGTAGTCTTAAAAAACAGCAACTGTATTCTTGTTGCATACGTTGAAGTTGCGCAACAAAAACGATTCTGTTGTCTTCTCAACAATTGGTTTTTCATTTGGTACTGTGAAAGATGAAAGACATATCGGAGGATCCCTTTTACATTTACTACTCTAACGCCTTATATTGGTTTTTACCAAACAGCTACATGAATTTCTGTTATTGTTGCTGGAAAAGACCTGTTACCACTCCATTTTTTAATTTTGTTAATCAAAAAAAACAACAGCAGCTAACTGATGGAACAAAAAATTCACAAATTTTGATGGTTTACCTTCCACTAAATTTGTTACAAAAATATGTTCCACGATGTAAATTTGCTCACAGCTACTTGAGTTGTTTTCACTCCAAAGTGGTGATATGCGCTTTTCTCCTTCAACTCGCAATGATTATTCTAGTGACAGTCTTTGACACTTAGAGCTGTGGTTACAGCTACCGTAAACATAACGGCACCATTCAGCCACCGTGTTACTGCTCAAAATATTCATTTTAATACAAAATCTATGCTACTGAACAGTAATATTCACTACAAATATCACATTCAAAAAGAACATTTCTTTCGATGGTCCTGAAAATATGTATAATTTTCCCTCGTTGTTTTTTTTTCAAACTACTAGCTATTCAAGCTATTCCAGCTTGCAAGCAATCTTTGGACTTCTGGTGCAGAAAGTGACGCTTCTGTTCCGAGTAACAGTTATTTTCAAAAGGTATTTCAATTTATTGAAAGCTATGAAAGTTACATGTAAGAAACTGATCGCTTTAAAATGCGGGAACGATTAAGAAGCTTTTGTACATTTCAAGATTTCTGAGCAGAGTAGCTATATAATTGATGTATACAGCAAATGACCTGCTGATAAACGATGATGATATTTGGCTGATAAAAGGTTGTAGAGACAGTCTTGAAGCGAAAATTGTAGACTTAGGCTTTCTGCCAAGCGCAAACGCGGATTTTCTGAGGGTTTTGCGGAGGTTACTGCTTTCAGGTCACTTCATCATTCTTTTAGTTTTATTGACTTAGTGAACTCTTGTAGCAAAGGCTCTTACTTTTAGTTCTCACTCTCAGTGTAATCGTCTGCCTCAGCTGTCTATCGCAATGAGCAGATTTAGCAGAAGTATTGCTAATAAATTTACTTAGAATTAGTGTAAAATATCAAGTGTACCCGAAGTTTCCTTAGCTTCTATTTACTGTTGCCGAGCTGAAGTGTCACTTTTGGAAGAGTAACGGCTGATGAAAGTGCGCACGTTGGCACACCCTTCTCAGAAGCTCTTGTTCTTGCTTGAAGGATTTTTTGGTTCATTACAAATAAATTTTTTGGACGTGTTTTAGCTGTTTTTTGTGTTATATTCTGGAAAACCCATGTTTTCTTCTGCTTTTAAAGGACAAATTTTAAATTTTGTCTTTTTAAGGCTTTTGTATCATGGTAGTTTGAGTCACTGAAGCGGTGAATAACAGATAAAAGAAAAAAGGACAAAGAATATTTTACAGAATATTTTTGGCGACTTTTTAAAGTACCAGTAAGCTGAGTTACTATCGGATTGGAAAACACAGATGGAAATATTGAAGGTTTTTGCCCCGGATGAAAAACACATTTTCTCAACTGTAAACTGTTTTGTCTAATTCTTCTCAGATATTTTATTCGATATAGGAAAAAGTATTTCAGATGTAGCCGAGAAGTTGAGGGTGGTAAAGATTTTTAAGCGACCAAGTGGCCGTAAATGAAAGCAGCAAAATCATGCTGAAGACTAATGAGTTGGTGCTGATTCTTGGAATCAACAGTTTAATTATTTCTTAGTGTGGAAGGGCAGAAATCGTGAGAAAAAGCCCAAATTAAGAAGGCGACATTGGAAATGAGACTGTCACAAATTAGGAGTAGGGCAGAAGAATTTTCGTGAAAATATTATCAGTTAATGAGACTTTTATGCAAGAGGTAGGTGAGCAGTAATGAAACGTCTTGTGTAAGGAAATTGGTTTTTGCGTTGCAAATTCTGAAGTAAAAAAGGTTCATGGTTTAGTTTTCTCTGTAGACTTTATCTGTCATGGTATTTTTACTGTTTGAAAATTTTTGTGGAAGGTTTTCTTTCTGTACATTATTTCGCATTGTTTCATTGTTTACACGAGCAATTCTTTCATCTTTTTTATTGGAAATGTCTTTGCAGATTCTTCAATGGATTCTCCTGCGTGGATGTTTACGAAGGCTCTTTCTCACCGTCAAAAGGTGTGTAGACTGTTCAAAAGAGCACTGAGGGAAATGGACGCATGGTACGGAGGAGATCTGTAAGTTTTCAGAAGAGTTATGCACTACAGACTAAATATTTAAAACGCTTTTCTTTTTTGGAGTAAGGTTTCTTTTGCATTTATTTATTCTTTTTTAAGTGGACTCAATTTTCAAATAAGTCACTATTTCAAAAGTAAAGCTGTTTTATTTGATGTATTTTTATTTGATGTTTAATTGTATCAAAATTTTATAGCTAGTGGGCTTATCCTTATGAGTTAGCATATAGAAATCAAATGGCTACTGTCTGTAGAAATTTTGAAGACTGGTAAAGAGTGAATTCATTTTGGAATAGCTCCACTGCTGGTATTTTAATTTTACCGCAGCATTTTAAATTTTGGAAACTGCATTTTAGATTGGAAGTTAGGTATCAAAAAGTGATTATGCGCGCTCGCTTTGATGCCAATAAGGACGAAAAGGATCCGAAGAAGGCTCAATTGCTTCTTGCCGACGGATGCCGCCAAATATGGGAGAAAAGGCATTGGAAACCTTTCAGATGTAGGCTTTCATTTGTGCTAGTTACTTAAATCTTTTTTTCTGTTTGTTGTTACGTTACGCAACCTTTTTTTCTTGAAGATCTTTTCGCCTGGTATTTTAATGGACTGGACCTAATTTTAGTCCCTTCAGCCAATTGACTCATCTTTATTGCATGCTGTAGTGCATAGTATAAATGCTTCGTCAAACAAAAAAAACTTTAGGTCGTTGCTGGCTAGTTACAGAGCTGTTATCGCTTTTTGACTCTTGCAGTTTTTTCTCAGCATCGCTTTTCCTTTTCATTACTACTCTCCATCACCATTCAGTGAAACATGTTGTTGGAGTACGGGAGACTAGTTTACAGCTAAGAAGGCTAGGAAAGACCAAAGAGGTCTTCTCAGCCGTTCTACTTTCAGAATTTCCAATATTATAGAGTGTACTTGAACCAAGACTTCACTTGCTGCATTTATGAACTTTAACAAAGCTAATCGCTGCCATCACTATCTCTTATAAAAATTTTTTATGATATTACGTGAGGAATCTGATAAGTATGAATAAATAAGTATCAAAGTGTAGTTAAGTAAGGTCGATTCCGTTTTTAGTTATAACACTTGTTAGCTACTCTGCTGGGTTTCTTCAAATTTGCTGCTTCTTGAAATAAATTTTTTCAACTAATTTTTTTTTTTTTATTAATTGGTTTTTATTGACTGTTTCTTTTTTACAGTTGCCCAGGACCCTTTTGGAACTGCTTACGCTCGGGATCGCGAATCACCAGATCAAGTAAAAAGTTCCTTACTTCTCGAAATACTGCATTTTAGTTTTAGTAGTATTAACACGTCTATTACAGGTCCTTGATGATCAGTATACCTTGCCTGAACGAGAACAGTTTCCTTATTATTTTAATAGGCGAGAACAGAGGAAGAAAGAACTTTTGGAACACTGGCACAAGATTGAAGAGGAATGGGATAAAGAACTGTCGAAGATACAAACTGTAGTACCGAAATCCAGCAGTGCTTCTTCGTGAAAGCACTAATTTTTTAGGGCTCTCAAAGATAAATTTTATTCATTTTTTGCAAACGTTGAAGATAATGCTGTTTCAGTATGTGATGAGGTTCTACTTCATTTACAGAAAAGTGCAAGTCTTACTTGTAATGTTCGGGTTAGATACAACTTTATTTTCTCGCTATCTTTTCCTGTAAACCTTATTTTCATTATTAAAAGTGTAGTCCAGTGAGAGTACAAATAGAAGTTAAAAACTACTTGGGTTTAGACTTTTTTGTCTTTACTATTTTCGCACTGCACACCATTTTCCTCGACTGTTTTCCCATCTTTTTTAATTCTTTCTGTGGGAAATTGCCATTTGCGTTTACATATAATGTACTGCAAAACGACTGTCTTGGTAAACGTCAAATCACCTATCAGCTGAAAAATGTTCTTTCTGCTGTTAATGCATATTTAGCAAAAAAAGGCGCTTGATTTAATGTGGCTAAAACTTTATTTGTAATAATGCGTGTCGCCGCTTCTGATGGATGGCATTCTACTTGTAATGTTGGGATGGTCATTAGGCCCATGTTTCATTACTTTTGATGGCTTTAGCAACGGATTCTAATGCAGTTAAAGTATGTGTTTAACTAGTTAAATTATCTGAACCGCCATTTTAAATGAACAGAGTACCTAAATTGGGAGAAGTGATGTACATGACCAGAGCTAAGTTAAGGAAGGTTTCCTGCAAGTTACAACAGCTGGAGAGTACCAACTCAACAGGTTGATGCATAACTAGTGGATTCAGTTACTGAACGGTGAGCCCTTGGTGCTGGTACAACGTTTACGAAGTTGGGGGTAACCACTGTTAGTCGCTGAAGTTTGGTAGCGACGAAAAGGTGGGGTGGAGTTTTATGGTAGTTTTTTGTGGAAAGAACTTACAGTGGAGCGAGGAATAATTAATGTTGAGGCTCCACGTTCAAAAAAAAGTAGGTGCTTAACTGATACAAGCGAGCCCTGCATATTTATACAAATATCTGCTGGTAAATGAGA